CCCCCCAGCAGAGGGTTTTGGGTAGAAGTACCTTTTAATTGTTGCGGGGAAGTGAAAAAAATTGCACCGAGTTTTAGGTCCCCCACGCGGGCAGGCGTCCAGGCCCCACAGAAGATGGCGTGGCAGGTGCTGGCATGGAGTGGGGATGGAGGGGGAGCGCTGGGCTAGGCAGGGGCGGGAGGTCTCCAAGGGCTCACAGGAGCGCGTGGGAAATGCTGCCAGCCTGGGGGAGCCCCTGCCCTAGCCTGGCTGCCGCCTGCCCTGAAACCGTGTGTGCTGGACAGACCTCGGAGCGCCTTAGGATCAGGGACACTGAGGTGGAACAAAGGCCGCCCGGGCCCATGGGGCATCTGCCCTTCTCCAGGCCCCTTGTGTTCCAGACGCACCGGGTTTGGAGCCCAAAGTTTCACTGAGGGGCGGTGGGGGAGTGGGGATTTAAAAGAAAGTCCTTCCTTTCCTGGCTCCCAAAATAGAGGCGGCCAGTGTGGCTTCTAGGGGAGGGGGTGCCTGTCATCCACCTGCTGGGAGGCCTGCGGAGGGCAGCCCCTTCCCCAGGAAGGGAAGAGCCAGCGCTGGGAATGCATCCACACCCTCCACCCCGTAAACCCCACAGCAAGGTCCCCCAGCTCCCTCTTGGTCTTTCCTGTTGGAAACAGTCTAGACATCAATCCCCCTGATTTATGGCGCCTGGCGGCGGGCGTCTCCAGGAACCTTGAAAGTGTAGCGGCCGGGAGTCCGTGTAGGCGGGGAAGTCTGTCTCTCCCCGCATCCACATGTGTTTGCAGACACACACACACACACACCCAGTAAGAAGCCTGCGTTTTTTTACTTTACAACGTGCGAATACAATATAGCTCACCCTCTGCGGGCGAGGCCCGTTCATGCCGCCGAATTGTGTTTACTGTGGGAGCCCCCACCCGCGCCACCCCCGGCCTAAGGTTCACAGGCATCTCCCCAGAACCACAGAGAACTTCAGACCTTGGCTCCTGGCTGGCTGCAGGAGCTGGAAAGAGTCAGGTCGCCCC